ATTTTGAAATATAAAGCATGAAATTCAATACCTATACATCAGATTTGGAAGTATTATTAATAAATTGTGGCAAATCTTCGCATATGCTGAAGATGTAAAAATAACAAGAAWTGAAAGTTCCATGAGAGAAGCCTATTCTAATATTGAAAGCAAGGGAAGTTTTATGGGATTAAAAATTAACGCAAATAAGACTAAATAATTTATATTATCTGCAGTTTAACAATTGGTGAGAATAATTTTGAAACAGTAGAGAGTTTCGTGCATCTTGGTTTCTGCATTTAATAATGGTAATAATATGTCCGAAGAAATAAGCAGAAGAATTATGGTTAGCATTCACCCATACTTTGTCAATATCTCACTCTTTAGATTAAAGCTGTTATCGAAGGTCACAAAAATGAAGTTATATAAAACTCTTAAAAGGCCGGTATTGTGCTACGGAGCCGAAAGTTGGACATTATTAAATGTGGATGATAACAAATTAAAAATATTTCAAAAAATTAGTAAGAAAAATATATAGTGCTGGGTTGGACGAATAAAGTTGAAGAATAAGAAATAAAAACGAAATAGAACAAATCTTATAAAAACAAAATATAATAAGATTCATTAAAGTAGGATGAATAAGATGGTTAGGTTATAAACAAAGAATGGACAAGGAAAGAATAGATAAACGAATAATGCATGCAAGAATTGAAGGAGCAAGAAGACAAGAATGACCAAGAAATAGATAGTTGGATGAAGTAAAGAAGAATCTGCAACAGCTGGGTATACAGAATTGGAGAAACGTAACTAATGACTGAGTAGAGAAGAATTGTTTTAGAACCCAAAGGTCGTTATGGCCTGTAGAGCTCAGGAGTAGTGTRTAGTAGTAGTAGTATCGTGTATCAGTTCCTATATGGATTCTATATCAGTGGTTTAAATATCGAAATATATGATCATAACAGATTTGATATTTTATTTATATTAAATATAATTATTATATTTTTATTAAGTTTTGAACATCACTAGCTAGTAGCCAGTGGCGGCTCTTAGATAGGGGCGATGGGGCGATCGCCCCCCTTCTAGAATTATCATTTATTACCAATTTACAATTTAAATTTCTCATTTATATTTTAGTATAATACTGTCAAAAATAAAAATTGTGTTTCCTTCATTTACACTAATACATATTATGAAAACATTATCAGATCATGGGAGTTTAAATTCGAAGTTTGAATTCGACGCTGTAGCTTCTGAGAATCGATAACCAATAACAATTTGCCGGGACCGGCGAGCAGCACATGCGATGCTTGGGCGATGTTAAAAGTCGCTCGTCATTACTCTGGTTGGAATACAAAAACTAAGAAGGGGGAACACAATAATAATACTGCCGCCGGGGCGATGATTTTAATCGCCCGTTGGCCGTTATACACGAATTYCGAACTTGCGTATTTATTATTTACTTTGTGTGGTCGTAATTCTAGTCAATTATATCTATAAAAAAGTGTTGACAATTTAAAATATATATATATATATAAATTAATAATTCATATGTATTAAACTATTAAACAGTTTAAAATAAATTATTATTATTAATATTATTTGTGTTCGATACTTTCCATATATAAGCAATTTTATATCGCCCTTCCACTTTCAGAGCACACGAGCCGCCACTGCTACACCGGATATTAAACGACGTAGTTACATAAATTTTGAATCTTATAGAGATGGTATTTTTATCAGGCAACGAAGTGCACAATATCAGCTAGTATATCATAAAATATATTTTTAAATTATTTAATAACAAAAATAAAAATATATTTTTTAATTTAKCTCCATTAAAATAAGCTGGGAACTTGTCCACTTTACCTCTCCCTCCTTAGCACCACTTTGTGCGTACCTATCAATTAAACAATTAGCGATATATTTTCGATCAATATKGTATAGTTACCATTATCCTTTGAGAAAACTGTGCCATAATATCATCACATTCGAGTATCAATTGATTCCCGTAAACTGAATGCCAAAAATCACAYCTTTCACGTAGTACCACGATATATTCCGAAACGTCGATTCTTATACAACCATAGTCTATATGCAACTGACATTCAACACGGGTTGATAACGTRAGGAAATATTTCAGCTTCTCTCCGTAATTAGCCAACGTAGGATTTGTCTCGGAAAACTGATTGATTATCAACTTGTTTCGTTTTTCAAACAGGAAACCAAATTTTGCAAACCTGGAACACATTACGAAGGTTTACAAAAACTGTATTACTTATATATACCTTACCTAGGTATGATATAGTAGGTATTTTATTAGGTATTTTTTTAAAACTTAAAGTTATAATTTGTTTTTATTTATAAATAAAAAAATTGTTTTTCAAAATTTGTTTTATTATCGATATCTGATATATTGACACATGATTTTTATGTTTAATATGTGGATTGTGGTATGTGGGTATAAGTTAATAAGTAATAACAGTTGTAGTCTGTAGGTACTATTATACTAACATAACCATGTACAATAAACTAAATAACTAGGATAATAAACAGGGTCATTAGTG